GATCTCTCTTTCTCTGTCAGCATTGGAAATAAAATAAATATCCTCATGTGGAATAAAATGCATTTTATATGACATGTTATACATGAATAATAACTGGTAAAATTGGGAGTACAGTTACATGTTTTTTGTTATACTATCTCAAAACTTAATATAATTATGAAAAAACAAATCCCTTTCACTGGCCAGTTTTTTATTTAACTGCAGTTGTAAACTGTCAGTGAGCTTTATGTTGAAATTAGCCATAGCTTGCAATAATTGAACAGTGTATATTTTTTACGAGTTTGTCTTTATGAAAAGCTTATTTCTATGAGGAACATAATTTCCATTAAAATATTGAGAGGAGGATTTTGTTTCATTCATATCCCATTACATGGCAATGGCTTGCCATGTAACAGGCACTTACAAGTATGCACATTTGGGTGAATAATTGGATGAGTTGCTGGATCAGCAGTTGAACAGTATTACACATGTAACACATGTAAGAACCCTTGGGTCCAAATAAAATGAATTTTTTTGTAGTTTTTGTCTTAACTCTTTGAGCAGTTTTTTTGTTATTTTTGTTGTTGGGTTTTTTTTTTTTTGTGACTATACAGTTGTAAGGTATCTTTTAATCTGGGTGAAGTTTACATTGAGCTTTATTCAGCTAATATGTTAAAGAACTTACCCAAAGCATGTGCTTTGTGGGACCAATCACACAAGCTTTATAACTGCATTAGTAGCGTGGGTTTTTAGCATGATGAACATGTGCAGATAGAAAAACAAGTCACTAATCTCCCTCAGCTTGAAGCCATCACAGACAACGTACGTACATTGAAGAAGTTACCTTAACTTCACAAAGAAAAGTCCATGATACCAAAAGTAGGAGATGACTCTGTGCTGTACACTAGCTTTGCAAGTTTAACATCAAATATCTGTTACCAAACACTAAATACAAGGACAGTATTTCGTATTGCTGTTTACAACGTAGTTCTCTTTAATGAGGATTGAAAGAATGCAAAGATGTATGAGTTTGCCCATTTTAATGTTTCTCAGTTAAAATGAAATCATCAAAAATATAGTCTTAAGACTTTTGATTCTTGTAGTATCTTTACAAGGTTGCTAGAGTAATCCAGTACCATCTATGGCCTATTTTAAATTTATTATCCCACTTCCGACAAAGCTGAAACATATGAGGCTTCTGTTTGACCCTGGGCAGTAAGAGGTAATGTAGGTATAATTGTGGTGGAGAAGTAAATGACAATTCAGAGGACACTTTGTAATAAACAAATTCGCAGTGCTTCATTGAAGTACTAAATTAAACGTTTCAGAATTACAGGCATCTAGCTCATTCCTTTTGAACCCTATTTTTCCTGTAAGAAAAAGGAATAAAATTTGTATTTTTTAGTAGAAATTATTAACAAGCAAAAAAGTGAATAATTCCAAGCAAAATGGGGTGTCACAACTTGGAAAATAATGTTCTCGCTATTCCTTTTCTTTGTCTTACTTGAGTACAATTTCTGATTTTGGATTGTAGGGTCACCTATATTACTTCAATAACACATTAATTTTTTCTTCTGAAATACTAGCTTTAGTCAGAACCTTTTGATTTCTCATCATGATCAAGTTGATGTATCCACTGTTCCTTCAGCCTTCTCACCGCCTCTTAATTTTTTTTATAAAATCATTTGTGATGTGTGTAGTATTCATGTTTCATTATCTGATTGTGGAATGAATTAGATAGAACCAAGGCAAGGCAATCAGTTGAGGAAAATGTTCTCCAAATAAAATCCCTCATCTCTCTTCTGAAGACTGCTTCTCCAGCACTGAAGGATTTATCAAAATAGTAAATCATAGGAGAAAAAAAGCAAGTCACAGAATACTTACTGTGCAATCCCTGTGTGAGTTACCCTGCATAACAAACACACTAACAGCACTTTGACTTGAATTGTTGTATCTAACAAATGTAAACTTTGGACAGAAAGATAAGGAAATATTTACAGCCCAAATTGAGCACTGCTTATGTGAAGAAATCCAACTAATAGAGTTCTGAAAATGAATTCTAAATGACCAACAAATTAGACTCACTTTAGGGAAATGTAGAATAAATAAAAATTCAGCTCCTCCTTTGACTTCAGATTGGTAAAATGTTGAACCTTTTTGCAAATGTGCAGAAAAACAGCAAATATAGCTATTGATAGTTTAAAATTTGCAGCATTTTTAGAGGTTAGTTTGATGTGAAATCTGCCAAAATTACTTTAAAAGTTCCTTCAAGCTGTCACCAACAATTCTCTGTAACTGTCCAACAAAAATAACAACACATTCCCCAAATCTGTGATTGGAAATTGGGCAGAAACCATATGCTTATCTAATTTCTGTTCCATTTTCCTGCTTCAGTATATCCTGCCTTCCTGTGTTTCCTTATTAGCGGTATAACCCTTTGTTTATTGAGTCTAGTGTTTTCTTCTCATTTTAACAGCAGACTTTGAATTCTTGCTAAAGTAGATTTGAGTGGTAAGGAGGTTTTAGTGTAACATCTTAAATTATAAGCAGTACTTTTATGCTAAAGTAAAGGTCCGCATTGTGAGCCCTCGGGAGGAGGTACCTTCACCTGTGCTGTGTTCCAGCATAGATTGCTTTTGCTGGGTTAGTTTCAGAGGTGCTGTGTATGATAAGTATACTCAAACCCAGAGATACTTGTGGGGCCACCCACTTTTTTCAACATTTTGTCATTTTAATAGTTACTTTTCATCCATCACTAACATGGATAGGAGACATCTGGCCCATGGGTCATAAAAGACCAGCAAAATCATTTGGTCTGACCCTGCCCGTAAACCACAGGCAAAACTCAAAATCCGGAAATCCTAATAGCAGGCTGACGTTACAGTTGATCATTGTGTTTGGCCTATGCATGATGTCATAAATATCCAAATAGCCCATGGCAGAAAAACTTTCCCCCACTTCTTATTTTGAAATAAAGAGTATCTAAATTTGTTTCATTCCCCATGTGAGAGGGAATCATCACAAAGCTAATGGAAAATAGACATTTTAATTTTTTCACAGATTTGTATAGAGTACTTTCATAGCCTGTACCAAACAGAGCTTTTGATTTCTAAATTTCTTTGTTGTTCTTTCATTCGTAAAGATTAACCTCACTGGTACCAAATGGCTCAAAGCAGTAGCATTTGGATCAGATCATTGAGAACTGTCATTGGACTACCCAGATTTTGCTAAAGTATTCTGATCTTTTCCTAGAGAAGAAGCAGGTTAGCCTAGAATGTTGCTTACAAAGGCTTTCCTGGTTTTTAAAATGGTACCTTATGAATCGTGGAGGTGACTTTGTGTAAACTCCCTTTCTTCTTACTTGAGAAATGCCTTTTAGTCATTTTTTTTTAACCTTGCAGGTAAAATTGAGAGTCTGTATGCCCTAAGAAATAAATGAAACTTCAGAATTTTACTGTGAAAAATTTTGATTTTTTTCCCAAGGCTCTTCTTGCCAACTTTTTAATTTAGTATAGCTGTCTTCTTTATTTTGTTTTTGTTTTCACCTTTGAATGTTTCTCTGTGTGGAAGCCTATGGGAAAGATTGAGAAGAGGGCTAAAGTTGGTGTGAAATATTGTTTCTTCCTCTTGAGTAGATCACCCATTGGCGGCATGACCTAGGTCACTTAATGATGCTCATATTTGTCTCAGAAAAATAAGTTACTGGTTTCTCTTTACATTGACACAATCCCATTTGGCAGTAGATAACAGCTATCCTGTGTGATATATGAGGAAATGAAGGCTTATGGAGGTTAGAACCTAGAGACATAGTAAGTTACACAATTGGCAACTAAACTAGATTTTGCCCGTTTTTTGCATGCCACACCATCCCCCAGAATACTCCAGATGAGTAAAGGCTAAAAACTGCATGCTGTGTTTTCTTCATTTTCTTATTTCTCTGTTTTTCATTTTTATACTTTTCTGAAGATGGTTACAGGAGATACAAAAAATAACTCCTTTTTGATTTTTTTTAAAGATTTATTTTATTTTTATTGCAAAGTCAGATATATACAGAGAGGAGGAGAGACAAGAAATATCTTCCATCCAATGAGTCACTCCCCAAGTGAGCACAACGGCCAGTGCTGTGCTGATTCGAGGCCAGGAGCCAGGAACCTCCTCCAGGTCTCTCACACAGGTACAGGGTCCCAAAGCTTTGGGCTGTCCTTGACTGCTTTCCCATGCCACAAGCAGGGAGCTGGATGGGAAGCTGGACTGCTGGAATTAGAACTGTTGCCCATATGGGATCCTGGCACGTTCAAGGCAAAGACTTTAGCCGCTAGGCCACGCCGCCATGCCCTCCTTTTTGATTATTAGCTTACTCCCCTCCCACACCCAAGTGCAGAACCATATATTAGTAACAGCTATCATCATTCTTCATGATGCCAGTACCAGTTAATGGGAAAAACAAATACAGAAGACACTGCAATCCATGTAACATAAGGAGGATTCTGTTCATCAATCTGTGAGATTCAAGGGTTTCGGGTTGCATAGAATAATCCAGAGGTCGTATGAATGTATCTTACATGTATCTTACTCCTTCTGGGTCTTTAGTGTGTGTGACTTTGCCTTGATATAAGTAACCATCATTTGTAGCTGCGTCCTTCCTAATTCTGCTGCACCAGAGTATTCTTCATGCATTGGATCCTTTGCTGTTTGCTTACATTAAAGTTTTGAATTATTGAATTCTTAACAGCTAATCCCACAGTGTCCGATATATCTGAGATTGGATTAAGAGTGTTTTGAAATCAAACATCTTTAACTAATAAAAGCTAACTGTCTTTAAATAACTTTAGAATGCAGCTACATAATTTTCAAAATTAATATATCTGTGAGTCTCTGTTATGTACTACTTTTCCATGGGTAATTTGATTTGGGTTTACATATAGTTTTGATAATACAAATATTTTATGTTATCGCCCCTTTTTTCCCATTCTTAACTCAATTTTATTTGGTAGTAATGTGTGTTTTCTTTATATTCAAAGGGTAGCCATTCTACAAAGGTGGAAGCTGTGGTGAGAACTCTGATGAAAATACAGCTTAGGGATCCAGGGGCCAAAGCGCTGGTCTTCTCCACGGTGAGCTCGGCACCCCCGTTCAGCGTTTACCCAGACTAGCTGTCTCTCAGCAGTTTATATCTGAGAACTGAGATGTAATGCCTACTGTAGTAGAACTACTGTTACAGGTTTTAGGATCATTTTTCTATACCCATAAAATTATGTTGAAACAAATGTGATGAGACTTTAAGATAATTCCTGTACTTATGATTTTATGTTCATTTTGGTTATTTTTTTATTTTAATAATTCAAAATTTGAATCTACAACCTTGAAGAGTAATTTCTCAAATTATTTTTTAGACCAAAAGCGCTGTGTAAGTGTACCATCATTTATTGTCTGTTGTTTACCATAACTCAGTTTTCAAAGACAATTTTTTCTCCTTTCAGCAAGCATTTAGTGCAAAACAAAACCCACTGTTATTTCAAGATGGAGCTAAATAATGTTGATGCTGCTTCATTTAAGAATTTTGTTTTGCTTATATTTACTTAGGTATAAAGCATGCTTTCAATTCTTCTGTAGATAAAAATTATGTATAATTGTTTTTTACTGTTTTGTGTGTTTTAGTGGCAAGATGTATTAGATATTATTTCTAAAGCCCTCACTGACAATAACATGGAATTTGCACAGATCGGTCGTGTTAAAACATTTCAGGTATGTCAGTATTTTGCTTCTATTTTCCTGTTGTCATCTGTCACATCAGCCACATTAGTTGAATCTTTCTTGATTAATTATGAAATTATCACTTAAAAACAAATTAAGTATTTTTGATCTTTTCATTTATGCCCATACTGAGCACATTTCTTGGCTCTTTAGCAGAAGAACTTTGCCTGTGATAACGCCCTTTGGCCTTTGGTGTGAGGCCGCACATCCTTGGGGTTAGGCTCTAAAGAGACCGTATCAGACAGAACTGCAGAACTAGATTTTACCAGAATTGTCCTCCAAAAGGCATAGTATAGTAACAGATAGACACCCTAAAAAGGTACATATGCAAAATATCAGCAGAAAGTTTTACATAGTCATATCTCTTATTTCACATTCTTAGTATATTTATTCTTTCTCCCTCTTTTCCCTCTGAACTCATGACACAATTTGAATAAATCATATGCATCTTATATATAATATAAAGAACAAGAGCATTCATATGCTACTTCATTAAAACTAAAGTCTAGTAAGTTTATATTCCCTAAAATTCTTTGTTTGACATCTGCTTTCCACAGTTGTGTTTTGCGTTGACTAGACACCATCTGTCACCTTTAACATGAGCCGTGACAGTGTTGCTCTTACTTTGAACTGAACCAGCTAAAACTAAAATATACTTCTCTTTTTTAGGAGAACCTTTCAGCATTTAAACGTGATCCCCAAATCAATATTTTGCTGCTGCCCCTGCACACAGGCTCTAATGGATTAACCATCATTGAAGCCACGCATGTTCTCTTGGTGGAGCCCATACTGAACCCTGCCCACGAGCTTCAGGCCATAGGGCGGGTGCACCGAATTGGACAGACAAAGTAAGAACTAAGGAGCATTAGTAACTTTGCTTCGGGTTTGAGATGCCAGATCAACATTTAAACTCTTCATTTGTGTTCATCACAACCGATTTGTTTTTTATTACAGGATGAGTATTCTTTACCTGAAATGCTTGGGGCCAGAAGTGTTGTGGATTTCAGAGTTTTTTTAACTTTGGAATATTTGCATATGTATAATATAATATCTCAGGGTTGGGATCCAAATCTAAACAGAAAGTGACAAAACTCATTTATGTTTCACAAATATCTTATACATTATAACCGCAAAATAATTTGACAGTATATTTTGAGTGTGTTTTAGCTGCAGCCTATCCCATGAGGTCAGGGTGGAACTTTGCACTTGCAATGTCATGTCCACACTCAGCTGCACATTTTGAAGCATGCTGGGTTTTGTTTGTTTGTTTGTTTTTGGATTTCCAGATTAGTGATGATCAATCTGAATCCTTACTCATTAAATTTTTAAACATTACTCTGCCATGAACAAGGATGAGCGTTCCTGCTGCCCCTCCTCCACGCAGCAAACCCTTAAACCCTTAAATTCCAGAATTGTGTTTTCCATCCTGCACAAAAGAAGTGATTGCCTTGTTTTGAAAGCAATACCTAGAAGAACTTGCACATAGAAGCATCATCATACTTTGACAAGAATTGACTTTTCATTGTCTCAGTTAGCCTGTACTGGAAAGATACATGTCATTGAAAACAAATGGATCCTCTTTTTAACTTCTTACCTCTGGGAAATGACATTACCCTGAGTTAGCTTCACTAAGTAAATAGATGTAGTTTAATAACCAACCAAGCCAACTAGTAACTATTGTACGGTATACACTGTCTTTAATCAAATATCTTTCAGAAAGTCACCAGGAAATACTGCCACTTGGATGCTGGATACCCTGAATATTTTTGAAAGGAAGAAAGAAAAAAACACATCTGTACTAAGTACTCATCAAATAAATATTTATTGAGCACCAACTATATTTCAGGCATTATGCAAAATACTTGGGATGGAAATTAATTCAAGCATAATCCTTTCCTACCAGAATGCCATGATATAGAATTTAAAATATTGTAATAGAATTTGGATTGAATCTTAAAGAAATAATTATTTTAACATTGGACTGACTAGTAAAGGGTGTCCATATAGCCAAGGAGCATTGTGTATTCAAAATCAGAAAGGTGTTGAGAAGTTTGGAATTGTGGAGATTAAAGTATAAGAAAAATAGCAGCAGAAAATGAGGCCTGCTGTGCCGTACACAGAAATGGAACTTCTCTGTAAGCAGTAGCTGGGAGAGCAAATTAAGAACTTTAATTTTAAAGAAAAATAACATGTTGCTCAAGCAGAGCCTCAACAAATGCAAAATAAAACTGACAAATGCAGCTTGTTCTAATGTACCTCCAGGAGTCATTTAAAGTGCAGTGTGTCTCATTTTTCTGTTAGTTTTATTTCATTTTAAACATTGACCTTTTTTTCTGAAAATGCAGATTGCCTTTCATTTTCTGAAAATGCAGACTGTGCTTCCTAGTACACTAATTTCTTTTTGCTTTCTGAGGAAACTGTATGTATTAGGTTTCTGAATTACCATTCTCCTCTCTAATAACTGTGCCCTATATACAAAGCAAAGAGAATGAGTGTCTCGTCTTTCCATTATCAGCTTGAAAAGACTGTTTGTGTCAGTGCCCACATAACTTCATTCAGTAGATTTTTTTCCCCATCTTCAGAGTGCTGGCATTGCTCTAGGCATGTGGGGTGCCCTCATGGATCCTACATTCTAGGTATAAGGAGATTGGTAGACAGATGGTAACCATTAAACATAATAAGCAAAATATGTACCATATCCGGAGCTGGAAAAGCACAACCGGGTAAGGGAGATTGAAGCGTGCAGGTGACTGGAAGGGAATGCGCTGAGAAGGTAACGTCTGAGCAAAGACTCGACGGACATGAGAAAGTTAGTCATGAGTTGCCCGAGTTACCACGGGAAGGTGACCAAGGGAAGAGAAGTAAAAAATGAAGTCCGTGGGCTTTGGAAGGAGGGAGATTGTGCTGGGTCCAGAAAGCAATGGTTTTCACCCTGAGACTGTTCCCTACTGGGAATCTTTGAACAGAGAAGTGACATAGTCTTAAGTTTTGACAGTAATTTTGACTGCCGTATTGAGGCCAGTGGGGGAAGGAGAGCATGGGAGAGCAAAAACACAAACTAGTAGAGCCATAGCAATCTCCTCGGAAGGAGCTGCAGGTAGCAGCATCGCACGTGATGAGGCATGCTCAGGTTCGCAGTAGATCTGGAGGAGAACACTGCCATCTGTGAGCAGACTGAAAGTGTAGGGTGTGGGAGGGTCGTGGATCACGCCATGGTCTTTGATGGATAAAGCAGCCTTCATCTAAGCCGGGCAAGACTACAGGGTAGAACAGGCTTATTTTACATGTAAGTTTGTGATGTCTAAGTGCTTTGGCCCCTTTTCCCACACAGGAGACTTTACTCTGCTTCCTAGCTTCTGCTGGCATAGCCCGGGTCGTTTGTCCCAGGTCCCACTGCCTCTCATATTCTTAAGAACTGTCATCTTGTAATACATTACAATATGAGTATGTCATCATTATTCATATTTTAAAGTAATAGAAGGTACTCCCCTACATTCTACCAGCGCCTCCATGTCAGCCTTTCACCGTCAGCTTTTTTGATTGGGTTGTTGGCCTCACTGTACCACTGAAGTGAGGCTGCAGAGCTTGACACTACCCTGTACCTCTCCCTAAATGGCTTCGTTCCAGTTCCAGGGCTGAAGGGGCCTTGGGACCACGGCTAACTGAAATGGATTTCCCCAGCCCCACATGCTCAAGTAGCTGCCAGGCCAGCTGCATCCACCCCTTCTGTCCTTGCATGTGACTCATGGACTGGATCTCCCCCATCAGATAACTGCCTAAAGATTCATGTTTCAAGTTTAATTGACATAGATGGAACAGTTTTCCTAGTGCACCCACACCTGCCCTGAGTTTCGCCACTCACAGTGTGTCATCACCATAGGTATGTATTATGTTTGGTCATAAGTCCAAATTCTTCTATATTTCTATTTTCACACCTGACATTTCAAAAGTCTTGTCAGCTCTGCCTCCAAAAGATGATCTGAATCTACTGACTCCTGGGGCCAAGCATAATACAGTGTACACTGTCAGTAGTGCTTTGATGACAGCAAGACTTCATAGCCATACCAACAGGACAGTGCACTGTACGCATCAACCAGAGGCCTCACCAAAGTTCAGGGAGATATAAACCAAGATACACATAAAACCTGAGGGATTCCCATTATCACTAGAAAAAAGGCCAGGAACTCCTGGTTCTGTCCTGCAAGGCCCCTGCAAGGACTAGCCCTTGCCATGCCGGCAGCCTCTCACCCTCTGCCTGGTTCAGCGTGTCGGGGTGCTCCCCCAGGGCCCTGCCACTCCCTCTCCTTCCTGGCGGCACTCAGGGCACTCAGTTTGAACTTCCTGTCGGTTTCCTCATGGCATTATCTGTACCTTAAGCCTTTTTTACATCCTTTTGTTTTGCTGTCTGTCTCCCCTCATAAGTCATAGAAAATGAGACAGTTCGTTTTATTCCCCACGGACCAACCCTAGCCCCTTGAAATCTGCCACAAGTGGGCACCAACTCAGTGTGGCTGCAGCATGTGAAGTCAGAATGGACTGTATATTTCAAGCTGTTTCTAACTTACAATTGTCACTTCCAGGCCTACTATTGTACACAGATTCTTAATTAAAGCCACAATTGAAGAAAGAATGCAGGCGATGCTGAAAACTGCTGAGCGGAGGTCGGTCATGGTCTGCTCTTGTTATCTGGGCAGCGTGGGTGGGGGTGATTTCCTCTTTAAGCTTGTGCCCACTTTGGAACTTGTTTACATAAATGTCAACGAAAGAAGTCAACACAAATACTGCTTGAAATCAAATTATGAAATTTGACCTATTCAGTGTTTCCAAATTAATACTCTGTATTTTCTATTAGACTTCAGTTAACTTGATATTTTTATATTAACTTATTATATCCATCATACATTTCTTTACTACATTGCATTACTTTTAAGTGAAATATATCTTTATGCCCAACCTAGAATCCTCTGGTATATATAACACTAGCCTCGTATCAGCTTTATGTGCCTTGAGTGTTAGTAGTCACTTGCACATAGGAATTCCTGAACCTGACAAGTCAGCTGATCAATGCGCAGTGTCATTCCAAAGGCTGCACAGAAGCAGAGGAAGCAAAATAGTCTTGATTTTTAAAATATGCCTTTGGAATCAAAATTTCCTATTATTAATGCCTAGGGATTTGTTTTGTTTTGTTTTGCGGGCTTTTTTGTTGTTGTTGTTTTTTAAAGATTTATTTTATTTTTGATGGAAAGTCAGATACACAGAGGAGGAGAGACAGAGAGGAAGGCCTTTGATGATTCACTTCCTAATTGGCCGCAATGGCTGGAGCTGAGTTGATTCAAAGCCAGGAACCAGGAGATTCTGGGTCTCCCATGTGGGCGCAGGGTCCCAAGGCTTTGGGCCATCCTCCATTGCTTTCCCAGGCCACAAGCAGGGAGCTGGATGGGAAGTGGAGCTGCCGGGATACAAACCAGCGTCCAAGTGGGATCCCAGCACATGCGAGGCAAGAATTTAGCCACTAGGCCAGCATGCTAGGCCCAGTGCCTATTTTTTTTTAAAGATTTATTTTTATTATTTTTTCATTGGAAAGGCGGATATACAGAGAGAAGAGACAGAGAGGAAGATCTTCCGTCCAACGATTCACTCCCCAAGTGAGCACAACGGGCCGATACTATGCCGATCCAAAGCCAGGAGCCTCTTCCGGGTCTCCCACGCAGGTGCAGGTTCCCAAAGCTTTGGGCCGTCCTCGACTGCTTTCCCGGGCCACAGGCAGGGAGCTGGAAGGGAAGCGGGGCTGCCAGGATTAGAACCGGTGCCCATATGGGATCCCGGGCGTGCAAGAAGAGGACCTTAACCACTTGCGCCACCGCGCCGGGCCCAGTGCCTATTTTTTTTTAAGTCATTTTGAAGACATTAAGTCAGTGTCTTAGTACATCCTTGTGAAACAGAGGGAACTGCAAGATAGCCAAAGAAGGCACTTCTGCTCTAGAAGGAATTGTTCCTGAATACACTCAGTATCAGAGAGGCAATTTGAAACCAGAATTTTTTTCCCCATAGGTGGCTTGTGCCCAAGTTTTGAAGACATTTTTGTTCTGTGTGTAACAGACTTAAATGATTTTTATGCAAATTGCTTAAATAAAATACCAATTACAAGAACTGTAGACATTCTCATGAAATAAATTAACTCTAGATTGTTAGAAGGCAATAAGGTGATAAATAGCAGCAGTGTTAGTTTTAATTCTTTGTACTTTTTTGTTTTAATTATGCAGGGAAAAATTTATTTTATGCCAAAGCCTCAAAATTATATTTGGAAGTTTTCACTAATTTTGAGAAGACATAAAAATGCCAGGTCACCTACTTTCTTGGGAAAGTTTCCTATGACCTAGTATAGACACTTAGCAAGTATCTGTCTTGTTTTTATTGTTGTAAATCTAACCATTGGTTCCTGGGGCTTTTCCTGTTGTGCTCACCCGGAAAACTGCAGTCACACAAACTCGGCCGGGAAGAACTCGGAGGCCTCGGTCCTGACTGTCGCCGACCTCGCAGACCTGTTCACCAAAGAGACGGAAGAGCATGAGTGATCCGCTCGGATTCATCGTCAGAGCTCCACGTGCTGCTGCGCTTCCGGGGCTGCAGAGCCCAGTGACGTAAGCAGGTGCGACATGGGTCCGCAGACACTCCTGTGTGTGTGTGTCTGTGTTGGCCGAGCACTGGTCAGGCACCAATGGAGTCCTTCTCAAATACTGTCTCAGAGGGCTGTAAAGATTTATTTTACATTCCTAATAAATTTTATTTTTGCCCCAGAGAGTTCTATATCTGATAAAACCAGGGAATTCAGAGATTTCCTTTTGATAAAATCAGTGATAAAGAGTTTGAAAAGAGGAAATGGGAAGTGAGTCTAGTTTTATATGACTTATTATATTCCACCAACATCTCCCAGTAGCCTTCAGTTTCTCTACCAGTATCTTGTTGGTGATAGTTAAAGTAATTGATGAAATTAAAATCTAGTTATCTGAATGCATTTAGGCTATTATTTGATGCATAGCAACTTTACAGTAGTGTAACTCATTGATAAGTTAATGGTAGGCAGTTTTTTTTCTTTCCATCTTGCTACTAAAATCCAGCACTGAAAATCTTTCATATTTCTATTCTCTGTTCAGTGGTGTGAATGTAAGCAGTTAACTGTAGCATCTCAGTTATTGCCATTTACCTTGACATTCTCTAACCTCTTTCTCTTACATTTTTATATAAAGATTGAATACACTCTGTAAATACAGTCATTTTATGATTTTTAGTTGTATCATAAACATGGAAATGTTGCAAGATTTCTTTCTATTATTATTCTCGTAAGTTCTTGGATTATTTTCCCGTGTTCTTCTGTAACTAGATCTCCTAGCAGTTGATGTGTACACTGGCCACAGTTTGCGGTTTTGCCACTTTTCCCTTCATGCTAATGTTTTGTTGAGAACCATGTTCTTGTAAGCAAATAACTGCAAGTGATAAAACCGGATGTTTCCTCTTCTGTGAAGAAGTGAGGGACTTTGCAGTCACTGGCCAAGGTGTAGCGCGCAGTGTCCTGGCCATGTGCTGCACCACAAACGCTCCTGTTTCCCCTTTGAGCCTTCAGATTTTCTAATGACCCTCAGGACTCGTTAGCTCCTCCCTGGCTCCCAGGTAACTGTAATAGAAACATCCCCCTGGATCTCGTGCTTCCAAGAGGCTCTTTGGTGCTTAGCTAAGGTGCATTTTATTACCCCAGGTTTGTAAAATGACACAATTCTACTGAGGAAAACATACACACATTTTTGGTGCTTAATCTTCACTTGAAGGAAGATACGCATCAATTCTTTTAAATGAAATTAAAATTATTTTTGTAGCTCTCTACATATTCTGAAGAGAGTTCCTGTGTATTTGTGTGTTTAATGATCGCAGCAGTCTAATGAAAGTGACTTAACACTCCTGCTTTGAGGATAGACAGCTCAGGTTCAGAAGGATTAACTCTCTCTGACATGTAGCAAATAATCCGTGGAGTCTGCGCTTCCTGACTCCGAATCTCATGTTCTTCCACTGAAAACTGCATCCTGCTGAAAGCCAGAACGGCCGTGGTTCTAATGTAGAAATGAGGCTCGGTGTTGCTTGTTGCTTGTCTCATAGGATTTCCTTTTGCACTATGTTTTAGGGAAAATGATTTGATATGCTTCAATTTTGCTAAAAAAAATTATATGTGTGTGTATATATATATATATATATATCTCCTTATCAGTCTTCCAGAAAACCTGTTATTTATGTCTGTAAATTATCTTCAGTGAAATAAATATTTTAGTGCAAATTAAAATTGTGGATTTAATCTCTGAGCCATAGTAAAAAGTTGTGTTTTTCAACAAAAGATCTCAAAATTGCTAGTATTATTCTTATATTTTATATACCACTATTCAAAAAACTTACGACAATTCTTCCAATTGTTCAAAACAAATATAAACCTAATCCTCACATCTTTCTGTCTGCAAATAAAAGGACTTTTAAATTTCCTTGCTCTTGTTATATTCTCTGAAAGTGCACTCTGCTTATAAATAGTTGTCCTTACATAAGAGCTACACTGATAAATCAGAAAGATAATAATGAGAGAGCCTTGATCCTTAGAATACCCCTGATCTTTGGAGCTTCAGTGTGTGTAGACCTGGCAAATTATTGTCTTGAATGACTGTAAAAAAATCTGGGTTTTTAAATATAAGTATAGGCACAGTGTACATTATGTAAATCTGACTACATAGCCTGCAGGTGGCTTTACAATGGTTATTGTAGTTTGAACTTCTCTCACTGTGTGATTTCAAAAGAATGGACCATGTGCTTAGTTTTAGAAACTGGTCCTTATCAAAACACCTGAATATCAACAAATTTAGAATCTTATAAGAGTGTATCATTACTCATACTTTACAAATAGCACTGGTTGGTTCAGGAACAGAGAGCCCCATCCGCTTCTGCAGTGTTTTGTCCTCTGCCCGCTTCTGTCTGATTCCAGCTTCTTGATCATGTAGACACTGGGAGACAGCAGTCAAAGCTCCACAAACGCATGCCCATCACCTTGTGGGAGACGTGTGGAAGTCTCTGCTTGAGCCTTGGGCGCAGCCTCCGTATCGGAGGTATTTGAACAGTGAACCAGCACGCGAGAGTGCTTACCTACTCTCTGACTCTGACTCTTAAGTTAAAATTTTAAAAGGAAAAGCAGTTGATTCCAAAAACAGCTACTTGTTGAAATGATCTTAGCAGTAGAAAATCTTAGCAGTAGAAAAGCTATCCTTTCAGCAAGAGAAAGGAAGAGTAACTCATTTATTATCCCCTCCGTGATGTGGTGTGTGCTTGAATCCAAGATTTATGTAACCTCAAAGGATGAGTTGCTTGCAAGCCTGAAGTTAACAAGGGTGGGAAACATCCAAGGCACAGGTTGTACAGGGCCCTTGAAATGAGTTCACCTGGCCAAGGCAACTGTCCAGGACCAGAAATACAATGAATCTATAGCAGGCTAATTTTTAAGTTGCCATGTATGGGTCACATGTTATACATATCCGAATGTCCATGGGGGGTGAAGATATGGGGTGTGTGTGTGTGTTGGAGGGAGGTTCCCCACCTTTGCATTAGGAGCTTTTGGACTATAATAACCCAAAGGGAACTCAGATCTCACAAAAGCAATGTGGTATTACCTCTAAATTATAGAAGATAGTGTCAACATACAGAAAATAGCAGGAGACGTTGGCAGGAGGCTATGTGCCAACTCCTACTGCTACTGCCTACAGGCAGCCTGTGGGGAACCTGGCTAACCTGTGTGTGAAGAACAAAGGACCCCAACATCCCGGTGGGTCCTTATCCCTGTGCAACAATGATGCTCAAGGTCATGGGTCTGCTGAAACTTAGGATGTCTTATTACAGCCATATTCTTCATGTTGCAGCTCACGCTGCTTTTCCTGCTAAATAAATCAAATAGCCACTCTTCCCCGTGTAGTGGTCCATTCTGCATGTGAACACTGCTGTTAAAACCAATAATTCTCTGCCTCCGAGTCCATCCCTGAGTCAGCCTTTTTCTAATGGTCTTCCTCCTCAGTCCCCTTTGTTAATGTTTGTCTGCATCTTAATGATGCATACCCTTTACAGAGGCTGTTTGAGAAGTTATACTGTCCGTAGACATTTTGAAATGTGGCATCTCCTTAAATGTGTATTTTGTATGCTGGCACAGTCTCAGTCGCTGGACCTTCTGGTTCCTTAAAGAGAACGTAATTGCACTCCAATCTTAGAAATCTAATTTCTCTGCAGTGGATTATGTAAATGTAAGTACCTGTGCCATTTTCTTTCAGAACCACTTGGGCTTACTACATCATATCCTTTATTCTGTTCTTAGACTGGACGGCCACTTCTGTGCCACCAGCTTCCAATAATCAAATGAGTGCTACATCCAGTTATTTCTTCAGACCTTCACTAAAGTTTTCATTGTGTAAGATAAGAGCATCACTGACTGTTGATAATATCCAGCTATTTCCTTTGGCACAGAATTATTGGTTTTTATTATTATTAATATTTGAGAAGCAAAGGGAGTGTTCTTACCAGATTCTCAGAAGGACTTAAGGACTAAAAAGGATCCACTGCCAGAAGAGCAGTTTTTAAGTGCGATGTTGGTGATCCCTGGGAATTCTCAAACCCCAGGGAACCTGAAAAGTCTTAAGTTTGTCTTCTGTGTGTCAGCGAAGGCAGTATATACAGCACAGTGATCGCTGAAACAAGTGTGTGAGGATTTAGTTGTCTTCTCAGAGATTTGCAAAGTCATAGAACAATGTGATTGTTTTCACAAAGCTTTTGTTTTATTTTGGAAGTGTTTTTTTTAGAGAATTATCTGTTTTTATTGGAAAGGGAGATCAGATTTATGGAGAAAAGCAAAGACACAGAAAGATCTTCCATCCACTGGTTGACTCCCAAAATGGCTGCAGTGGCTAGAACTAAGCCAATCCAAAGCCCAGGAGCCAGGAGCTTCTTCCAGGTCTCCCACATAGACACACAGTTCGAAAGCTTTGAGTCATCTTCTGCTTTCTTCCTAGTCCACAAGCAGGGAACTGGATGGAAAGTGGCACAGACGAGACACTAATTGGCATCTAAATGGGATTCCGGCACCCACAGGGTGAGAATATATCCATTAAGCCATTGTGCCAGGCCAGGAGTTATTTTTAATTAAAAACTATATATTACTATGTAAGGCTTGTGGTTTTAATAAGTATCTCTGTATTGCTCAGTTTTAGTTTGTAATATGGTAAAGAGCTGTGGGCTTAACTCACCAATGATTCCGTGGCATTTAAAAGGTACCCGAGCGCCACTCTGTTCTCCATCTTATTTCCTCACTGATAGTAAGGCAAGGATTTTTTTTTCTAGCCAAATTTATATCAAATTGATATTTGTACATTTACATTGGTCATTATCAAAGTTCTGTTTATAAAAATCAACGTGCACAGCAACAACAGTATTGGCAAGTATAATGAACTTTTCAAAGATTTATTGATTTATTTGCTAGGCTGAGCAACAGACAGTAGGATGATACAGAGAGAGCTTCATCCATTGACTCACTCCCTGCTTAGCCTTAACAACCAGCACTGGATCAGGCTGAAGCGAAATACGAAGAACTCTTTTCTGGTTTCCCACATGGTGGCCCATATTCTGCGGCCTCCCCAGGTGCATTTGCAGGGAGTTGGATCAGAAGTGGAGCAGCAAGGTCATGGACCCTCACCCAATGTAGGTGCCATTTGGGAACGTAACAAGGAATTGCATGTAATTTTACACATTATGGCTGGGGGAAAAAATGGAGTTACCTGTAACAACAGATTTTTAAACCAAACTGTCTATATGAATGTGAAGTGAGCACAGTGACAGTCTGTGTACTGTGTGAGCCCTGTAACTGTCCGTTTTATGTATATAACTGGATAAGGCTGTAGTCTCCAGACACTATTCTCTATGTTGTGAGAAATGTTCCGTAGATGTGATCACCTGGGTTGCTTGTTTGAATCACATAGGAGCCTTGAGAATGGAAGTGGAGCTTCCCAGATGAGGAAGAAATAACGCCACTCGTTGACAGCAGCTGAGTTCCAGCCAGCTCTTCCTGATCACAGCACACCCTGCTTGAGACCTGCCCAGCCAGGCCACACAGTTGTCTCTAGCTGACTCCTTGATTATATGCTGCTGGTTTGTTTTCTGTAGTTGAAGCCGAACTGGTACACCACCTGGGAGCAAGAGCCCAAATACAGAAGACAAGTTCTGCAAACTGTAGGAATGCTAGCAAATGATACTGTTCGTGCTGTCACTTTTAAATACTACTGTGACATTGCCCAGGAATCGTGCTCCAACATGTTTCCATGTGACCTTAACATGTAAAGAGTAAAAGTTGTACTGAAAATAAGGTAGCTTTCAATAGGAGTATCACTGGTGGCTATTAATAGCCTCCAGTGTGGTGTGCACATTCTAAGAAGATGCAACACTGGGTTGGGAGACTACTGGTTAGGAAATCTGTGTCCATATTAGGCTTGACACCTAGCTCCAGTACCTAATTCCAGCTTCCTGCCACGGCAGAGCCTGGCAGGCAGCAGTGATGGATGGCGCAGCTCACTGGATTCCTGTTACCCGTAAGGAAAACCTGCATGGAGTTCCCACATCCCAGTTTTGTCCTCGCTCTTGTCTTTAGCCCAGCCCAGGTTGAACTGTTGGGTGATTTGAAGAGTGAAGCAACATGTTAAAACGTTCTCTCTCTGTCTCTCCTACACACTTTGTCCTGTTTCTCCTAAATATAAAGTTTAAAAAGAAGTATGTTGGGAAATCCATTGAAGCATAGAAAGGTTAAAAAGGAAATGTCAGAGTTTAGGAGGGACTTATTTAGCAAAGGGGAAGTAAGTCACTCCTTAACATGCAGGATAACACATCCACTTTTCGGATGATCACACTGTGGTGAGTGGAGCAAGTGCGTGTGGATTGTGTGCTACTTCCAGCACGTTATTTTCATGTGCCCAATTACGTGTGTTTGTATTGCAAGTTATATTACATAGCTTTGAATTAACTCACCACCTCAGTGTGAACCAGTGGCACAGAATAGCTTCTACTAAGAATCCATGTCAAACGTGATAGGGAGAACGTTAGTGCCAGGAAACAAGAATGAATCAGATGGCGCAGATGACTGCTGCTGGGTTTTTAGCCATGCCACTTGAGAAAACAGTGAAGACTGACCAGAACTGTCTGGGTGAGCCAACAGTTATCATGAATTATCATGAGGATCTGAAATATAGTCCTGCGTACATGATCAAGAAAAATTACACCCACTGCAGTGAGCTTAGAA